AGTTCAAATAATTTAACTAAATATAATTAATTAATATGATTAGAGAACTTCGAATGAATTTGAATTAAGCCTCAAAAAATGAGAAAATTCCCAAAGGTATACCTGAACGACAATGATTTTGTCTTCTACCTCCAATAAGGAATGATTTTATCTCCTATCCGAATAAGAATGATTTAGTTAGATTTTAATTTTAGGTTAAATTAGGGGTTGGCTAAAGTTTATTGTGTTTGGTAATGGTTATGGTTTTATCTCCTACCTCCAATAAGAAATATAAGTCATTCATTTAAAATCACTTGATTTGATTGATCCAACAAACGAAACTTCGTCCCTTTTGATCCAAAAAGGATCACATGGACTTCGTCCCTTTTGATCCAAAAAGGGTAGCTCTAAGACTATGTTTCTTTCATAGAATATCAAGACTAAATGAAAATGGAAGTGGACTAAGGAATACGAATTAGGAGGGGTTTTAACTCAATCCTTGCAATTGGAATCTAAAGGAGGAGGAGGCAATCAGTTTTCCTTTAGGTTTTAAGAGCTTGTGATGCCTGGACTGGTAGGACAACCAACTTTCTAGGTTTGTCTTATTGAAGCTAGCCATTAGAAGACACATAATAGCTTGGAAAACAAAGAAAAGGCTCACTGTGTTTGTACAAGCTTATAGATGGATAGGGCAGTAACAATTAGAGGTTATATGTTAAAATGAAGGGAATTTGAATTCCCCCTCTGCCTACTTTTGGCCATGGTTGGCTTTTAGAGAAAGGGGGAGAGTATCCAACCACTAGAAAAGTCTAATATAATGGCTTGGGATTATGGGAGGAAGAGCATGGCTAGAGCTAGCTTGATTTGGCCATGGTGGCACATGGTCTGACCATCATAGAAAGTGGAAAAAACCTTATCCAAGAAGAAGTTGTGCAATGGCCACTCTATTCTTGAGAAAAGTGTCGGGTAGGATGGTTTAGCAACATGAGTTAAGCTGTCAGAAAGCTAAATTTGGTATCTTTCTCAGGTTAGCATAGATGGATGTCATGGTGGAACTACTCGATTGAGATGGACCAATCCAAGAGAGGTCCAAAGATTGTTATACTTCTCCCTTGGTTTTGATTGACATGATGAGTGGAGGTTAAGACAACAAAGGGAGAGAGATGTGCTCGGGAAAGCTTACATGGTGGGTCTAAACCTTAGCTTGCCCAATAAGGCGACAGGATCAACTGGCTACACCAATAAACACCTAAACTTATAATTGCTAAATGAAACTCACAACCATAGGCAAGGTCAATTTTGATGAATTTAGTTAGGTTGTGTCATGTATTAGCCTTAAGTTGAATGATATGTTTTATGTTGTATTATTGGTTAGCTTATAGGTTTAAATTTAGTTTATTTTAATTTTAATATTTGTTTGGATTTAGTTTAAGTTTGGTTTAGTTGTGTTGTGACCTAACAGGAGGTTCTTTTGAATTTGATTAAGTTATATTTAATTTATCTTAGAATAAATTCAATTTAGTTTTAAGTTAAATTTAACTAAAACTTAGTATAATTTAAATGTTGGTTCTAATTTGATTAGGATTAATTTGATTTTACTGGGTTTGAAATCAGTGTTTTATTTATGTTTATATTTGGCCTTGGGTTTGACTAGATTATAGTTTAATTAGGTCATTAGTTTATTTTATGGCTTATTTTAATTTATAGTTTAATGTTGTTTTAAATTTGAATTTAGTTTTAGTTAAATGTTTGTTTAGTTTAGTTACTATTAAATTAAATTTGAGTAGATTTAATTTATTTTTATTTAGAATTAAGTTTTATTATGGCTTTATCTAAGTTTACATTTTAGATTAGATTAGTTTATAGCTTAGTTCAATTGGACTTAGTCTAGATTAGGTCAAAATAGATTGAAAATGTTTTGAATCTAGTTTAATTTAAGTTGAGCTTTAACTAGATTTGGGCCATGATTTATATTTGTTTTGTTTAGGCCTATTTTACTGATTAAGTTTTAATTATTTTTGAATTAAACTTAGTTTAAAAATTATGTTGAAATTTGTTCTTATCTTGATTTTGGTCAGTTTCATATAAAGTTAAACTTATTTCAATTTTAAGTTTGAATTCAGATTTAGTTGAATTAATTTAAATTTTAAATTAATTTTGGGCTTTAATTTTAATTTAATTCAAGCCTAAATTCAACTATAACCAACTCAATAGCGAACCAAAGAGGCTAGCCAAGGTATAGCTTGGCTATCCTAAGCTTTAGAGTGACTTGACCAGTAAGTTCCAATGTTGTGGGGCAAGACATGGGTCTAATGAAGTTCACTTAAAACTACAGGGCCCAGGACAAAGCCACCCATGTCAAGACCAACCAATCAAACTAAGGACAAGACTAACTACCTAAGGAAACTATGAAGGAGACTAAACTTGGATTGGGTAGTGGTCAGGAGAAGAGTGTTTGAACTAAAAAGAGGTTAACAACCATATTAAGCACTTGCGAGATAAGAGCTTATAAAATATATTTTTTTTATTAAAAAATCAGTAATGATCAATATGGGATACATGTTAATTTAAATAAAGAGATGCTTGAAATGGTAAATTTGTGATTACTTTTAAAAGATAAATGCCTTATCTTAAAAAGTTATAAATCTCAATGAGATTAGGACTGTGATCCTTTCGGGTTTCTTCAAAATTGTGATCTTCTCATTGCATGTGTTAGAAGTAATATAAGCAAGGTAAAAATTATTTTTTCTTATTATTTTAACACAACTTAGCATAGAAAACCTTATTTATTAAATGATGGATAGATGTCTTTATGATAAAATTTGATAGCAAAAGGTCGATTTAGTATAGCATCATAGATGGGGTCTATGCTTTAGTACCACAGACTGAATTAAAAGTGTTGATCATAAAAATGGTTTACTCAAAATAACTAAAAGGTTGATTGTACTGTAAACTGTTGTTATCCTCTGAAATCATGAATATCATAATATAAGATTAGAGTTTAAAAGGCAACTACGAATAGGATATCCACTCAACCATTTATATTAACCTGTTAATAGTAGATGTTTTATTCATTCAAAATGAGTTATCAAAAATAATTAGACTTTGCTGAGCATAGCTTCTTATGCTTGAGGATGGGTAAGTTGCAATTGAATTTTTGTAATAGTGCCAAAAACTCTAATATTTTGTTCCAATAAATTTGATAATCAATAATATTGTGAAACCAATAATTGCAAATTATTAATGTAAATAATAGTTCAGATGCCTTTAGCATACTAATGCTCCAATCTCTTCTTTGCAAGAAATATTTTTTTGTCATTATAAATGTTGAAAATGATAAATTTTGGGGTTGGTCATCTCTGTTTAAAGTTTTTTATAGTTTTAGTCACTTGAGATGTTCAATTTTTTTTTTTTAATATCATATTACCCTCTGAAGTGTTAATTTTGACAATCCTACAATTTGTGATAATTTTTTTCATTGAAGTTTTTAATTAGACAAAAAAAATTTTTTTTTTTTTTTTTTTTTGAATGAGATTTCAAAGCTCGTCTCTTATAACATCACAAAAGATGTCAATGAGGCAAGATTTGGCCAATTCCACCAATATTTCTTAGGGTTTAGAGGTTGGTTGGACAATATAAAAATGATGAGTTAAGCCGATAGTGTCAAGACAATATTAGCTAGGCTATGGTGGAGGAAGAACTTCATCGTACTATGATCATTGAGTATTTTTTTTTTTTTTTTCTAAAAGCTGAAAGATTCGAGTCTGTTACTTCACCTTAAAAATATAATCTCTCAAAATCAAGCCAATGTGATTTTCACTAACTAGATTATGTCATCTTTTGATTGAGAGAAATGCTTGTTACAATGGAGAAACATTTGCACCATGAAAGAAATAATTCTCATAGATGACACTAAACTTGTGCTTCATAAGATATGTATGGTGGAAAAATGAGAATTAATTTCTTAATATCGCATGAAGATTTCACTCACTCACAAATATAAGAAGATTTTAGAAGATACGCCCAAATTCTTCCATAGGGAAATCAAATAGTAAAAAATCACTTATTTAGCCCAAATAAAATAATGTACTATTTTGATTGTGATTAAAATGCTTCTTCCGCATAATTGGAAAAGATTGGATTACAAACTACAAAACATAATCGTGATCTTCTATGATTATAGTTGAGAATATTAGAGAAGTGTTAAAAGATGATGATAGCATTAAATCAACATAGATATATGATGGCTATTGGACAATCATAGTTGAATTGCAACAAATAGGTGACTTTGAGCAAAGACAATTAAATGATAATAATAGACCGATTATAAATCATAGATATCAATCAGACAAAAACAATCAAACAATTACAATCAAGTGACCATAGGTGCCAGTGATGATCATGAATGTGAAATTCTACAATTCTGTAAATCTCTAAACTTTTTTTTATATATAATTACTTTAAGATTCAATCTATTTCTATTTGAAAAATAAGATCATATTTATAATTTTCTAAAAAGATATTTTGATAAATTTTGCTAAAAATTAAAAACACATTTTTAGGGTCATTTTTTATGTATTTACGTGTTGAACACCTAAACTTTCATATGTATGTGTGACTCAAATCCTTAATAATCCATGGAAAATATCACAATAAACTAACATTTAATAACGAAATGCACTTCATTATGCATGGGCTAGGGCTGTAAATGAACAAATGCACTTGATGAACAACTTGAACTCGACTCGATTAAGGCTCAAACATGTGCATTCAAATTAATAAATAAACAAGCTTGAGCAAATTTTAAAAGCTCAAAACTTAAACAAACTAAATATGAATATAACCGAACTTATTCGTTTATGTTCACAAACAAACTCGTTCGTCATTCAATTACTTGTTCAATACTTGATATTAAGCTTAATAATTTTAAATGAACGAATCACTTTATAGTAAAACCAAAATAAGATTTTAGGAAAAGACAACTCAGTTTCGTAACCAGTAGTAGCAGGCTAAAATCTTTAGTAGCTTTTATTATATCACAACGATTACGCGGAAGATGATTCTTTTACTTAGATACATCAGCTGGTGGAAAGTGGATACAAATAACAGAGCTGATCCAACTTATCCAAGCCCTACTATACAAATATAGCTAATAGATTGTCTAGAAGTCAGGCATTCACTACTAGTTATGTACAATAGGAGATTTCATCATAATATTCACAGAGCAGCCATTCACCTTGGCTACATGTCCATGTTGATGAACAAGCCGTCATCCTCCCCTTCTTCCAGTATCTCCTCATCAGGTAGACCATCAATAGCCAAGTTGCTACCACCATAGCCAAAAAAAAGAGGTAATTTAAACGAAGTTTATTTATAGGAAGATTTACATACATGCCACTCATATCTTATGTATTTATATATATAACATCTAAATATCATTTTTTAAATTCATACCACCTTATGCATAAAAAGGTGTAATTCACTTTTCAGAAGTTAAATTGGTGGTATTTTTTATGTGATTAAAGATTTGGGTGGTTAAAATGTGAAAAAGCAAAGTTTTGTGTTAGATTCGTAAATACATAGAAATTGTTGCGAGCGCGAAACATAAGTTGGGAGTTTGGGAAGTCACCTTAAACAACAACAGCGGAAGCTCACAATGCGCTTGAGTTTTCTGTTGTAGAAAAAGAAATTGAAGGACCAACTGCATTAAGGTATACCACAAGTCAAAATTAAAGTGAATCCATGGCTCAAAAATGGTAATTTTATAAAAATGGAGCTTACATTGCTCCCTTCTCAATGGAAGGGTCCCCTTCAAAATCTGGATTGTAGCTGTAAACTTCACATTCATCCAGCTTTATAACCTGCATAGAAAGCCAATATACATATCACTGCTGCTGCCAATATTTAATTTACTTGGCTTCGAGGATTGAGTATAAAACTTTACACAGATGCTTCACCTCATCAATGGCCTTTGCCATGCTCTCCAGAAGGGAACCGTCATTAAGTAGGGACCATTCCTGAAGAAAATGTTGAGCTAAAGCAAATTGAATATCCACAAAGTATGCTTATATACTTAAGTTATATGGATAAAGTAAATATTATAGTAAGAGGCAAATTTTGAGATACGGTCATTGCTTTAACAATACATGCATGCAGATAAGCTCACAGTCAGCAATGATTTAAGAAAAAAGTAAAATGAGATAAATAAAAGCACAAAATTATTGACTTGTTGGATCCATGGAGTTGCAAGTTGGGACTAGAAATTGGAACTGGAGGTACTGAAGGATCATGTGCCACTTAAACCTGCTAGTTAAGTTATACAAACAAGGAACTGGCACTAGAGATGTGTCTCATCTATCTCCGCCAAGGATTACATTTACAAGCTTATAAATATTTAAAAGGTTTAAAGTTGAGATTCAATATAAATAAATAAATAGAAGACATGAAAAGAAACAAAAGATAATCCAATGAATTAAATCAGCAAAATATTCTGATTCAATTAACCACCATGGTGAAGAAGGAATGATAGCTCAGTTCTGAGAGGGAAACACCTAGAATCACATTGCTCAGAGACAACATGACATCATCCGCCCAACAGTTAAGACAGTTGAAACTTTCAGCTGAAAAAGATGCCAGCTTGCCCACTTTATAATATGTTTGGTAGGATTGCTGTTATATTTATCAAATAAAACCAAGAAATCATGAGGAAGTTGGCTGTTGTAAAAAACTGAACTCTCATAAAGTAAGCTAAACAGACTTTTTAGGGAAGCCCAGCTGCCGCCAGCCCATAGGAAACAAAGTGCATAGTGCCACAAATAACTATGTAAGCATTGAGCAGGCAGCCATACAGATTTGTCAAGAAAAAAACTTGAGGGAAGTATGAAAATCTCACAAATTATTACGGAAGACATAATTTTGTGTATTGAAAATTGGCCTCTTCATAACTAAATTTCTTCACGCTCCCTAAATGCATTTTTTTTCTATTGCATAGAATAAGCAACACCTAACGGCACACTATGGCAGACAATAAACAAACATGACTTTTTGTACCTTCGTTTAGGATTTTCCTTGTTCATTTTATTTGCTATCCGATATTTTTCTCATTATTTCCCTGTGCTGCTGATGCTGACCATTCCAAATATCTAAACATTGATTGGATTTGCAATACGTCCCATCCAAAATGGAAACAGAATAGCAAAAGCAGACATTTCTTTTGTCTACTTGAACGTAGACCCACCTACAAAAATATTAGATTCAAAAAAAACAAAAAAAAACAAAAAAGACTACAAAAACCTTGATTTTGAACCTTTAGATCCTGAAAAACTTTTGGCTGAGCCTAACAGCTATTCCAAATATGGAGGCATCAAGGGCTCCCCAACCAATTCTCCCTCAAGCCAAACGCTCCAGGCCCAACCCAAACATTCATTCTCAACCTCTTCCTTTGGATAGCTGGCATTCTTCAAATGTTCAATACCCAAATCCTATGCATATATCAACACACACACACACACACACAAATCCCGATCCTCCTCAAAAAATTATGCAAAAAAAAGGGGGATCATATCAAATTTTGTTCTAAAGCAGTTCAAGATATTCACAAGTATATCAATCAGATGAAATGCCCACAAATTTTGGATTTGCAGAATGATAAGATTACAACTTCTCTGTTTGCAGCACTATCTATACGCAAACTTCTCACATGTTCTTACAAATTAAGCATTTTCTATGCAATCTTGCCAAGAGGAGTAGATCAAAACCACTTTCACAAAGCCAGGTGCATGCAAGAGGATGAGAATAACAAGTCAACATTCATTTTTAATAAGCACATGCTTCAATAGCCACGACAAAGGGTATGGCTGTCCACCAAAAGAGAGCTAACCCCAAAGCCACCCCTAGTTTGGATTGTAAGCAACTCACCAAGTTACCAACATGATGGTAGAATCACAATTAATTTCCAGTCATACAAATGGCTCTGAATTCAATTTCAAGCACCATACACCGTGTCCTTACAGAATCTTCAATCTAATCATGAAGATATCCCTTCACCACAACAAAGGTCATTGAAAATGTCTGGAATGACTCATTAATAGAGTTCGTAAAGTAAATGGCAAGTGAAAAAATGAATCTTTTCTGTATAGTATGGCTGCCTAAGCATCATCATCATCATTATTTTTGTTTTATTTATTTGGAGGTGGATTCAGAATCCTTCTTATCTGCTCATTCATTTTAAGCACTGCATGAAGCTGTTTAACAACTATTTTAAAACAATTTTTCCATTTTATCTTTGGTTTGCATCTTTTTCTTTCCAATTTCACATTAACACCTGCTCATGATGCATTTTTTTGCTTTAATGTGTATTAACAAATGATCTAAATGAACTCCAAAATCTTATCTTCAATGGCTGCTATTACAATTACCTCTCTAGTGCAATTATTCCTCCATCCTTCTTAATTTTATCACAAAAGCAAATACATATCTAGTCTTACAGAAAAGAAATAATATACCTTAGCAGCCTCAAACAAGTAGGTGTCAAAAATCTGCCTGAAGCTGTCCCATTCTTCCTCTCTGAAAAACAAATGTGCCTGCACTGCACTGCTTAACCAAGAAAGGGTGATAATGCGATGTCACATTAATATAAAAACAGATTCACTTTGGAGGCAGAAAAGGAGGAGAAAAGGGGATAGGTTCATTGCAAGGAAAGGGTGAGACGGGATGAGGATAGTCAGAGAAAAAAGAGCATTTACTCAAAAAAACTATAATAAAAGTAACCACAAAGCTCTGCCAGGAAATGGAGAGACTTGAACTCTCAACTCATAGAGCAACGGTTATGCACCGCCTGTCAAACCATTTGACAACATTCCCCAATAGTGGTAGGAAAAAGAAAAGGTGGGTTGCCATACTGCTGCTTTCACAAGCCGACGGACATTACCCAATAACATTCCCCCACTTTGAATATCAAAAATCAAATGCGTACCTGAAGTCATAGTCTGGATACATATGACCCAGAGTAAGAACCAGGTAAATCAATGTTCTGCGGCTGAGACAAAGAAAATGTAATAGAAATCAGGTGCTGAAATATTATTAGCAAGAATTATCTAATTTAGGGCTCCTCGTCACCTTGATCGACTGGAAAGGTATTCCAAAGGCGAGGAAGGGTCACTGTCTGCAGATTGGCTAAGGTAACCGAGAATCTACAGCAAGAAATTTGTAAGGTTGCAATTAAGATTTTTTAAAAAATAAAAAGTTAAGCACAAATCAATCAATGGCTGATAAATCAGCTTACAAAGAGAAATGGTAGAATTGACTGATAAAGAAATGTTTTATTCAACAGAAAACAGCATTACAGTATCAAACACCATCCAGAAAAGTAGAATGCAATTAGATATTTATGAAAGAATTTACCATCTATTAAACAAGTGACAAACTGCCACACATTTTCACAAAAAGAAAGGTGTCACATTAATTTCTAAAACATGAGCATACGATAGAAAAAACATGGTATCATAAGATCACCACCACTTCCCATTCCAAACAAAATTAAAAAAAAAAAAAAGAAAAGAAAAAAAGGAAGTCTTATGTGAGCAACAACATCAAAAACAAAACAGATCAAGTGTATCAAAATTGATTCAGTTTCTCTCAGATCTATTACTCCATTTGGTTAGGAGAAGCCAAAGACAACGTGATAGAACTTTTACTCATTTATTACTTTTAACTAGTTTCTTGATATCTCAATGCTGAATTTTGTTTGTTAATATATATACTTACATTACATTTAACAGCACAGGCAACTTTAAGTAGGAATAAACAGTAACAAAGGATACATAAAAAACCCCCAAAAAGCTGGAATATCACAAAATTCAAATTTCAAATTTCAAAAAAATTGTCATCAACAAAGCTGGTATGTTTTTAGCATAAGAAACGAACAAATCTTCAATGGAGTACAATCTTATTTTATTGAAGTTACTAAATCATGTCAAACTTCAGGTTCTTCATATTTGTGAATTCTACCTTGAAGTTAATGGTAGTTTTTTACTGCATGTAATATGTTTTCTGGTTCTTACCTCATGCTCCAAACTAAAGGAAAGCTTTCGGTCCATTGATGTGTGCTTACCTGGAAATTCCATGTGAAAGCAAAAGCCACATTAAGCGCAAAAAAGCTACTGATTCACTGATGGCAACAAGAGCATAGCTCGTCATATTGTAAACAAGAAAAATCAAATTGCCCTCACAAGAATACGCTTCAAGACTTCCTTTAATGGTACTTTCTCCCAGATTCAAATCATCCAGGAAGAAATTTATACTGTAAAAGGTAAATTATTATTTCAGAAAGATGAACACAATGAATACTGGTAGCATAGCACATTTAGAACACTATCGTGCTGCAGCCAATATAGCTTCAAATAAAATTACTAAAATCATAACTTCAAAATCACCTGTCCAATGGAGTAAATTCCAGAAATTTCATGTTGGAAATCCAAAATTTGAGAAAAGTACAAACTATATCTCTAATAAGAAGTGAATCTAGAATCCATGAATGCCTGTGAAATAGAAGGAACAAGAAAGGTCGTAAACCATTAGAAAAGAAAAACAGAAAAAAAATGACAGTAAGCTGCTTAAGCTGTTGCACAATCATGTCAAAACAATATTGACATCTCATGAAAGAAATGATTAATAATCTTGCCATTAATCAGGAATCTCACCATACAAGTTTCAGGAACCACCCTACTAGGGTAAGTAATTCAGTTTGCTTCAACTTCCTACTCCAATCTAGTGAGTTTCAGCAGTTCTATTGCATAACTTGTTAAGAACAATTACATGCATCCATCCATCCATCCTAGGGTAAGTAATTGAGTGTGCTTCAACTTCCTACTCCAATCTAGTGAGTTTAAGCAGTTATGGTGCCTAACTTGTTAACAACAATTACATCCATCCAACCATCCATCCATCCATATCCATACATACACACAGATATATATATATATATATATATATATATTGTGTGTGTGTTTCTGTTCGTGTGCGTGTTGTCTACACACACGTGTGCATATAAGTATCAGAGCTGATTCTTTTCTATGAACTTCAAAAATTTTAGAGTTTGCAGAACCTACACTTGCTTCAGAGTTGTTTTTGTTCCCGTCTATCTATGTACAGTAAAAATCCAAAAATATTGTTTATTTACTATTTATGTTGTATGGTTTCTTGATTATTATCTGTTTATTGTTTATTATAATAGTATATCTTAATAGTATGGTTGTGTTCTTTTTATGAGACGCTTTGGTAATCTTGAGTTAAAAAATCAAAACAAAAGAAAATTTTCTTTTTGCAAAAATACCCTATCTTGTTCCTGTACTGCAGATAGCTATCATCACATCATACAAAATGATCAAGCTCAGCTTAATACTGTTGTAAATATATTATCCAACCTATCTGATAGTTTATATCCTTATCAGTTGAAAGTTATAGAAAGTTTGTCTTTCATATCAGTAAACTTAGTAGAAAAATATCCACTAATGGTTTTTTAAAAGATAAGGTGAATTACTTAAAGGTATCTCAGGAAGACATATTGTGAAGCGTTATTCAAGCTGAAAAATAAAAATCAAACTACCCTAGAATACAAAAAAGATTGTCGGAAATCAAAGAAATTTATAAAATTAAGCATTTGAAAAGTGAGAGAGAATTCCATCAGATAAAAGGATTGATAGAGAAACTAAAAGAGCATCAATACAATCGATGTACCCTGAAATTAAATAAAAAGGACCTGAATAACTTTTTGTTACCTATTCGACTGATTACTAGTGATAAGGGTAAAGAAGATTACTTTGAGCCTGAGGATCTTGTGTCAAAATCTGATAGAGTTATCATTCAACAAATCCATATAATCCTAACACTGTTAAGTCATCTCCATTAGTCTCTTTATGAGAATCTTGCGTCAAAATCTGACAGAGTTATCATCCAGTAAATCAATACAATCCTAGCTCCGTTGAGTCATCTCCATTAGAGCCTCTTTATTAGAAAAAGTTATTATGAATCTAGCACAAAATACTTCTACAAATAATAAAGTTGAAAGTGAGTTGAATAGGATTACTTCACATATCAAGACTTTGACATTGGGCAAAACCTCTAAAAAATCTCTTAAGACTCGAAAAGGTTATCAGTTTCTAAAATATGGAGTGAAAATTAATTCTGTTTAATGGATCTTCGCATACTATTATAAATAGATATTCTGTGTCTAATCAATCAAGTTCACTAACCTCATCTTGACTTAATAAATTTCTAGAAGAGAGTAATTCTAGAAGAGATTTCAATGATCAACTACATGGACTTAATCCTTATAAGCTATATTCATAAAGTCTACTAAAAATTCTACAAAATTATTCAATCATCATAGAGAAGTTTTATTGCATTGTACTGACAATACTGAGATTATCATGAACTTGATTACCCCTTAAGCTGACTCTGAACCAAAGAATAAGAAAATTAATACTTATATACATCTTGGATAAGTGGTCTTTTGAATCAAATAACTTATTAGAAAAAAGACAGGAAGTAAAGTATTACTTATCCTATTCGACTCTAGATTTGGTACTCCCAATGAATCTATGATAGAAATCATAGAAATAGATACGAGTGATAATATTGGAATCATCTATATTATCCCTGACAACCATTACTATATCTGGTTTCAAAAAATACATAAAAATCATGATTCAAAGAATGGTTATGAAAAATTCAAATGTGATAATCTATACTCATTTGTCATTTTCCTCGAAAAACTATGTCTAATATCAAAACCAGAATTAGAATCAAAATGAAAAAAGTCACACGTTAACCTCCACTAGTATAAAATTTATACTTTCAAAAGAAGTAAACTCTAAGATATTGGTTGGCTTAGTATGGGATAAATGTCCTCATAGAGAAGAATCTCACACAATTGCTCCTAGCGAATATATTACATTTCAGAATCCTGATAAGAGATAGGACGATAAAATTCTGAATTAGGAAGATGATGAACATGATATGGAGCTAATCAATATTGAGCATGAGGATGATATAAAATTGATGCATATCGAAGAGATAATTGAGGATGAAAAATTTTCTATTGTGTTCCCTTCAAAATTAGGATTACCTGATGATTGGAAATCCATATATAAATTGCAACGGCAAGACAAAAAAATAGAACAAATAAAAATCAATGACGCCTTTTATGCTGATGATAAAGAAAATATAAGGATAATCAAGGGTGATAAAGAAATATAAGATGATATAATGGATAGATATTGGAGTGACTCTATTTCTATTATTGAAAAAAATTATGCAGGACAAGATGAAACCACTTCATTAAACAATCTACATATTCAACCAGTCTAACAGTCCTGCCAGAACAACAATTATGTTCCAATGGAATATAATATAGGTCATCGGACTAGACGGTCTATTAACACCTATGATCGCAAAAATCAATTGCTAAGAACTTCCGGAAAAAAGAAGCCCAAATGAAATTTTTTTTTTCTTCAAAAATAAAGTCTTACTAAATATCACTGCGTGCAATCCTGAGATGTATGACAATTGTTTGGAACAATTGACAACCCAGATGGCTAGAGATTATCAACAAAAACACAAAGACAATTTGAAAAATGGTGAAGAAATGATAGAATGTGAAAATTATTTAGGCGATATTGCAAGATCAATAAGGTAATCCTACAAGAGAAATCTTTCAGATGAAGTAGCTGGATTAGCTAGTCAATGTAACAATATTCTAAAGACTACTTAATCCATAGAATCTTAACTGGTAAAAATTGAAATTATGGATTAATTCTAAAGCAATTCAATGCAATGAGAGACCTTGAGCAAATCAAAATCAAACACTAAAAATACATTAAAACTTTGCAAAAAACTTTATATGTTAGTTTATATATCTAAAATTACTACTCGAGTGAACATGGTGAAAGACAATTTTCAAAATTGTCTGGAGAATTGATGAAGGAAATACACAAGCTTTGACTACTCAGAATATAGTCCCACGGTTTGACAACATGGGTGTAAGAATCTAATTCATATTCCAAAAAAAAAAAAGTGCATATATCTCTATGTAAGAATCTAATTCATATTCCCAAAAAAAAAAAAGTGCATATATCTCTATCCAAAGACAATTGAAAGAATGTTGTGAAAGAATGTTGCGGAGTAGTCTCGACAATCCAAACTCCCCAATATGGAAGGAGGCTTATCTTCTTCTCCATTTATTTGAGGACGTCGACGGAACACGCACCTCGTAGGCTAATGATAGTCTTGTATTCAATCACCACCTTCATAGCCAAGAGCTACAAGGAGATTCCGGTGGCTATTTCGATCTCTGATATCATGTAATTTTGGAGAAGGAAAAAATAATAATTCACCTTTAATTCCATAATAAGCATTTGTAAGATAAATAGCAGAGGAAGGTCACCAAACTAGAAAAGCCATAAAATCAATCATGAAATCCCAGTGCTATAAAAGAAAAAAAAATTAATACTCTAAAAATAGAAAATACTGAAGTTAGGCAATCCTAAAATATCAAAAATATTAAAAAATTTATCATACATATATATATGCATATGAACTTATATGAAAATCATTATATTCCATAATTACCATAATTGTCATATGTAATTTCAAGTTAGACATGTTATGATATCCTTTCACATAAATCTTTTTTGAAAATTTTTAATGCTCTCCATTTACTCTATTTTCCTTCCACTTTCTTTTGTTGATTCCTCACCTCGTATTCTACCAAAGGACATATTTTCATCTGTGGCTCTTTCCACAACTCTTTCTGAAAGATCCAAGAATCATCTTTGAAAACAAAACAAAAAAAAATTCAACTATGGACAATTTAAGTTACAACTTTACTGCTGTTCTTTTAAATATGATAAGACAAAGCTCTATGGTAAAACCAAAGTGCACCATTATCAGTGAAGCAACAATCTCAAATTGTATTAACTTTTCGCATAAGCATAATCACTTCAATTGCAACTTGTGCATGCTAAATGACACTTCTTGTACTGGCCATGTTTTCCTGCGTTTGCCTGTGAATACCAATGGTTATATGACAAGAGAATCAACCTTGGTGCTCACTAAGAATTTAACTAGAATTAAAGTTAAATTAAACTGTTTAACTAGAGACATGATTAGAGGGAATTTTTGTCGAAGGTTAATTAGGAAAATCAGATTCAAACTGGTATGAAATATTCATTGTTAGCCCAATGAGAAGCATTTCATTCGGCTTCATGAATCCCACTTTTGAATTAATCTTGTTATGGGTTCCTTTTGAGGTGATAAGTATATCAAGGTTTATCAAGTAATGTTTGTTTTGCATAACATTCAGATATGTTACACTTGATCCGCGTATAGAATTTCATGTTTCATTATTGAATCCATCAACCTTCCTCCTTATTGTTCCATCCAAGTACATTTTCAAAAAATCCAAACCTTCAGTAGGTGTTACACCCACTATCTCTATCTTTAATATTAAATTTGTAACTTTACATTCCTTACTAACCAC